ACTACATTTACTAATGATTGATTGTAATAAGTTTTAATATTATTTAATTTTAGTGAGGACCTAAGCCCTGAAAACCACTAAATGTGATGGGAGCTTCCTCTATAAAGATTGTTTAATTATTATTTATTATTATTATCTATTAAATAGATAATAATAATATATAATTATAAAGTTGTAATACTGCCAAAGAACTGGGGACTACTTTGAAGAAGTTCCACAGGATGCTAGGAATTTAGAAATAATTCTTTTGAAAAGTTAATGACTAAGTAATAAAATGATTGAACATTTCATCCATAGGTTATCCGAGACATTTTATTACTTGGTCACAGACAGGCATTTGCATGGATTGATGATTGGATAGGTGAGTGCAAGCTATCTCCCTAAAGACTTGCTGTACTTAAGTGCTGTTTTTATCAACCCTTTTACTTCCAATAATAGCCAAAGAAAACTTTCACAAAAAATGTTACCTAAAAGATTATTTAGGGCTGTCATTGAGAGGCAGGGGCCAGGGATTTCCCCCGACTACTTTTATTGGAAAATAGAAGGAAACTAGAAACAAAAGATATCCCTAGCTGTTCGATTCCCCGCCTACTCGTTGTATTTACCCAGCAACTTGAAATCTTAGTGACAACCCTGTTCTTCACAAAAAAAATTAACTTCTTTCTGTAAATTTGTAACAAAAAATTAAGTACTGTGCAAATGTTCTGCTCAGAAGTTTTCATTTGAATGGTAATACCAAAGACTTTTGTTTACAGAGTTAAAAGTTTATACAGTTATAATAATCATGCCATAATAGTCGTCTTCTAGAAAATAAATGAAGAAGTCAAGCAAACTCAGTTGTACCTTTTTTCTTGGCAGATATGGGCATAGATGATGTTAGAGAGTATGAGAAAGACATGCAGGAAAAAACGAACAACAAAGTTGGAGCTGACATGTAGATTTGTTTTTCAATAGTGTTTACCCTTGAGACAGAAAAAACATCATTTTTAAAATTCAGTGATAAAGTTTTTAAAAACATTAGTGTGGATAGAAATTATTACAGGAAACCTACTTGTTTTTGGTGTTAATACTGCTGGACGGTTTTCTTCTTTGAGGCAGCTGCCAAGAGTATTCACTTTAGAACCTCTCTTAAATTAATACACCAGTTACAAAAGAAACCCTGATCATGTGTATTTTGCCGTAAAGTGTTTTCCCGTCTGTTTTTTAGGCTTAGTTACGTTAGGCTTACTAAGCTGTTTATTATGGCATCTTCCATCAAGCAGATATTTTACTTACTGTTTTGGCATTTGGTAGTCACCTACACAGCCATGTTTTTTTGCGTCGTCACGCAACACGGGAAGCATTGCATGGCTTCAAAGAATGGCTGTGTGGGAGACTAAGCACTTGGTGGAATGTCTTGAAATATTATGAAATTATGGAAAGGATGTCACATGTTATTTTCAAGTGAAAAACTCGTATTTGTGGCAGCTTAGCTTTGAGAAATGTCCACATAAAAGGAATTCATTTGTGTAACATCAAGGTTAGTCCTAAAATGATGTTACTGAAGGGAGGGAGCAAGAATTATTTTTTCTAACTTGCCACTTTTCACTTTTGTACAAAATAATTGTCATAAAAATCAGAAAAACTCTTATGATTCAAGTTTTCCTTGTGTCCAGCCTAGTCCCACAGTCAAAAGGGAACACTCTAGGTAGCGGCCTTCAAAGTTTGACCTTGCGCTAAGACAAGGGACTAAAATATTTGTAATTAGTTATACATAAGTTTTGTATTTTTTATTTTTATGAGATCTTACTTGCACATGTTAGCAGGGTAAAAACAAGGTACGCTGTGTTACAATGTTGTAGGTATCTCCATCCTCAAGGTAAACCACTATTCACCGAAGCAAAAGGCTAACCTTAATAGGTTGTTTATTGGATTAACCTGAGAATGGATGTAACATACAGCACATAGTTTACACACAGGTTTTTTTTATTTATTTTATGTTTTACATTTTGAACTCCCCTACTGAGGAGAAGTCTAGCCTGGGAAAACAGCCAACATTTCAGGATGCCACCTCTGGTTTCCTTGCAAAATGACATCTGAGAAATGACCACAGAATTTTCATACTCTGATAATGTGTCACTACCCAGATCTGGGCAGTGCATCTGATTGGTTAAAAATTTGCTTTATCCGATCAAAGGCACAATCCAGATCTGAGGAGTGATGCATGATCAGTATGGAATTTCTGTGATCATTCCTCAGACATCATTTCATGGGGAAACTAGTGCTGAGGCTAAAAAAATTTTGGTTGTTTTCTCAGGCTAGGAGGGGTTAAGGCTGAAACGATTACCACATTAGGGAGATTTAAATATGACAGTAATGGCAACAAGAACATCAAAAAATTAAAACAACTCTGCACATGCATCACACGTTTTACATTTCTTTGCCTCCTCGACGACTTCAACAAGAAATTCCTTCATGTCACATTTATGGAGGGAGTAATAACGACTCGAAGTAAGCGGATGAAATTCAGGCTAATTTATTCTTTCATTATCATGAATACTTATAGCAATCATCTAGAAACATTAGACATGACAGTGCTACAAGACTCAAAGGAAATCGGACCAGAAAATGTGCATTTGAAAACCTTGTTGAATTTGTGAAGTACAAATGAATATATATCCATGAGTCATGGACCAAACTAACTTTGTGTCAACAACTAACTCTATTCATTCTTCTAATAAGATTTTGAATTATTTTGTCCAACAAAACGATAGCTATTCTTATTGTGGTCAGGCCTTTGTAACTGTGTATGCATACTAATATCAGAGATAGAAGGAGTAGTGATTTATAGGCCCTTTGCAGCTGGGGTCACGTGACCAAATCTTTCCTTAAAAAAATCTATATTATGGGCTATAACTTAAAGAATGCCAGAGATTGAAAGAGCAAATCGAAAATACCAAAATGGCCAAGTTTGGGCCCCTGGTATTACAGAGTACTGTTTATACAGCAGTTTGAACTTTTGGAAAATTAAGAGGATTTGTGTGGAAAATGTTGCTGGAGAGCAAAGCCTTGCTCTCCAACAACTTTTTTAAAAAAATTCAGACTGTCATAGAATCTCATTCTTGAATGATGGGGGCCTCAAACTTGGCGATTTTGATATTTTCGACATGCTTCTTCCATTTCTGAAATTTACTAAGTTATGGCCCATAATTGTATGAAAAGTAAGTCACGTGATGGCTTAGCTGCGAAGGGCCTATTGGAAATCCTTAAAGTTTGTAGAATTTTGATCATGCTGATGGTAGGAAGACAATGCAACATACAAAATAAAAAGACTAGTGATAGCATAATATCACTAAGCTTTTTTTAAACGTCTTAGGCCATTTTTTGGCATTCCAAGATCTTACATCACAACTTATAAATAAAGATAATTGCTAGAAAAGAAAAGACAATAAACTATTGATTTGTATAAAAACTGTGGCACAGCAGCTACCTCGAATAATTCGTTCTGCAATACCAAGAAGTATTGTAATAATAATTATTCTTACAGTCGTTAGGCCAACTAATGGTGGGTTGGCAGAAAGTGTTGAGTTAGGCAGCTTTATTGTTGATTTGAATTAGCTATGTCAAGCTGATTTTAAAATAATTTTGGAACATTAGGACCGGCCAAGCAGGTTTTAGCTCGGTCATGGCTCATTTCTGACTGGTGAAAATGTTGAAACTCAGCAATATTATAAACTGGTAACTGGGATTCTCATAGCCGCAGTGTGAGACTGTCAGACGGTGTCCTATTTCCATATATTTCTCTGAATTTATGACTGCAAGTGGCTAAAATATTTTAGCTATTTGATATTTTTGTCGTGGTTTTTTCATTTTAGTGTGGCTTGACTATAAACTTTCAGTGCCTGTAAAGTGGGTCTTGGGATGAACAAAATATTATGTACTAGGTTGTTATTTTCTGAGATTTATAAAAAAGACTCCCAAACAACTAGTCTTGTTACCAAAACTTGTTGGCTCACAAGTGGTGAAACAAGAGAAAGTAATATTATTATTTTCTGTATACTGTAGTGGTATTTCTTTGTTACCTTTTTGACGCAAAATTAACTCTCACTCATAATAAATTATTAATGTACAGAACAGTGAAAAACAGGTTTTCAATAGTCTCCATAGCCCATAAAATGTTTTATTTTTGGGATGTAAATATTTTAAATCAAACTGTATAAAATAATGAGTGAATAAACAAATTTTGATACACCAACTGTAAGTGTACAGTAACTTGTCCATTAGCTTGTTCCAGATGTTCAGATAATGGCTGGTGAAAAGAGAAGTGGGCAGGAAAAAAAACAGTGAGGGGTAGGGAGACAGAGAGCCAACGTTTGTAGATGTCTTGTTTATGAAGGAAATTGAGTCTCGGGCCGTGGTTGTTCAAAATAAAGTTGGATAGTGCTATCCACTGGATAAATCACTATCCAGCAAGATAAGTATTTGGGAAACCAATTGCACTATCCTTTGGATAGAGATTTATCCAGTGGATGACGGTACCCACCTTTTGAACAACTGGGGCCTGGGCCCAGTTGTTTGAAGGCTGATTAGTGCTTAACCCAGGGTTAAATTTAACCCGCATTTCTTTTTCTTTGTTCAAAAGCATTTTCTCGGATAATTTTCTCTGTTATTCCTAAGAGTATCCAATCATTAACCTGTTGACAGAAAGATTAAAAATGAATCTACTTTTTAAGCTTTCAAATCTGATTTCAAATTTCACACTAACCCTGGGTTATCTTAACCCAGCTTTGAACAACCCGGCCCTGGTGTTTTAGAATGGATTATTACTTAAGTCTGATACCAACACTGATTTAGTGTCTCAGTTTACTGTGCAGAGGTTCTCTGACTAACTTTATCATCAATGTTCACTGGAAAACTTTGGTATATGTGAGTTAGATCAAAATGTCGGGATTGCAAAACAAAATCACTGTCCTGCACTGACTTAGTAAATTTTGTGATCAAGCAACAGATCAATTCATCGGTCATTCTTGCACTAAGCCCAGGCGAGCAAGCTTCTTTAGGCGCTCACGGTGGTATTCTTTTGACTGCACCTAGAACAGAAAGAAAAGAAGTGATCACTAACTGCTGAGAAAGGAGTGCTTACATGTACTGATCGTTGGTCAAACTTCTCCACCCTGGTGAAGAAGATTTGGGTGTGTCTGTTATAATAAGGGGTTTTATTATTATAGTAAAACCTGATTGCAACAAACACATACCTAACTCTTCTTCCCAATTTTAGGTCTTGTTCTATTTTATCTGGCCATTTACTAGCCTTCATTTTGGTTGAAAAAGTTTCAACAAAAAAACCAAAGATGATGAAGTTATTTTGAAGGATGCACATGTGGATTGTGGTACAAACTTTTCATTGAAATTTCCAGGTCGACTTTACATCCCTGTCCCTGATTGTTTATTTTGCATTTTTCTCTTGCCTTTTTGTCTGAATCATGCCCATTTGGGTTTGGTTTTAATGATACAACAAGCAGCAAAAGGGATGTGGATTCACACAGGTGGTTATGGACATTTCAGTTGTGAATACGTTAAAGTTAAGTTCAAATCCCATAAAAGACTGAATTTTTTAAGGGTTTTCCCAACTGCACATCAATATTGCATCTATAACCGCAATGATCTTATCAACATTCAATTCAATTTCCCTCAAAGTTGGAAACTTCCTGGTAAACTGATAGCTTACCAAAGACATCATCAAGTGGCTCCTGTTTGACATTCGAGGAAGCTGGCTAAATTCCTATGGCAAAATATTTTCCATTAAACATGACCACTACTAAGTACCAATAACAAGTCAGAGTTTCTCCCGCCTTGCCATATCAATCCCTAACCAATAAGAAAGGTTATTACGATAAAACGTACTGAATTTACCCACATTCTTATACGTCACACCCATGTATAAGCTGCACCCAAAAGTTTTCCCCGACAAATTGCAATCGAAAGTCATAGTAATACCATGGTTATTCTGCTTAAAGCTGGTAGAAGGGTAGCAGAATAGGGACCTGGTAAGCCTTAACCAACATTTCTTTAGTAAAGAAAACTTTCCCAGAAAGGTGAGGGTCCTTTATTGATTGCCAACAAGTTTCTGATAATGCAGGGAAGTATTCATATAGGTGACAATCATTTTAGTGATGAATCTTGAGGATGACATGAGGTTTTCATGAATTTGTCTGCCTTACTAAGCCACCAGTTGCGGCCAATTCACTAATGGAGGTGTGAAGAAATTGATTCCATCTTGCTTCATGGAGATGATTTGCTCCTTGAAAGCTCCATCAGAGAATAACTGCTGACAGCAAACAGTAATAATTGTATGTCAAGTTGTCTGGCCAAGACAACCACACACCACCCTCCAAGCACCTCCAGTTTTTTTTAAATAAGAGAGACTACCCCAGGATTCTTAAACTGACCAGATTTTTTGCGTACCTCTCCTCTATCCCAATGACCGCTTTCCCCTTGCCAGCACTCACTTTCACGTTGAAACTTCTAGTTATATTGCTAATTGGCCCGCGAGCAAGCTCTCTGAGGTGCTCTGGTGACAGGGCGGGAAAAGGAAGGAGAAATTGCAACTATCAGGGCTCAAAGTTAACTTTTTAGTGCACTTGCAAAGTTTTGCAAGTACGATTTTTTTCCACTAGCAAACTGGTGAGACCACTAGCAAATTCTTTCCCTTTGTTTTGCAGACATGGATAATTCTAACTCACAAATGTTTGCTAGCACCAACTTTTTCAATGCAGATATTCAAATTCAAGAGACATAGTTGCAAGCTCTCCTTCCTTCCCCACACCCCAACCCCCTCTGCCAGAGTGCCCCGGAGGGTTTGCACGCAGGCTAATTGTTAAATATCTTAAGAGAAAGTGGAGTTTCTTTTTTGACATTGAATAAATATAAATGATTGCAATGGTATGAAAGTAACATAATCTGAACTAACAAGGCTTACCGATGTCAAAACATCAAGATAAGGTGTTCCAAAATCAAGTGCTGAAATAATGTAAAACAGAAAAACTCTAGTTTAAAATTAAATTAATTTGATCATCATTTGACAGTGAATAATAAGGTAGAAGTGATGACACGAAATGCTACTTTAAAATTTTGGAAAGGTTTAAATGCTTCCTGGCAAAGAAACTGAATTAATGCTGAGTATCAGAAGTTATTTCACAATGCTTGATTTTTATTTTTACATGGTAGGTATATGTACCCTGTTGAATGCTCATAAGGTAGTCTTTTAGAAAAAAAATTGCATATAAATATGATAATGATTATCAGTGGTAAACTTTAGATCTATCTAATCAGTAGCCTCATGAGGGATCATAGTCCACCACTCACACCCAGTTTAAAATAATGTAGCAAATTCAGTTATTCATTCTCAGTCAAAGCACTACAAAATCAAAACTTCTTGTCACATTTCTGGGAGGTGGAACCGTATTTAAAAAATTTGTTTTAAAAAGCCTCATACCAATTTCAATTCGAGCAGTTGCCTCGAAAATACGTAGTTCTATTTCTACAGGTTGAGTAATCTGCAAATACAGTAAAACAGTATTAAGACCCTTGTTCCAAAATGAAACATCAAAAATGACTCAAAGTCATTATAAAGTGTGAAAAAATACATTAAGCATTTGAAGATGATTTTGATGCTCAGTTTGCATGTATACAGTCTTGTGAAACATCAAAAGGAAAAAAGGGCCAAAGAAACAAACAAACATTGATTGGACTGGCCAATTCAAAGGAAGTTAGAAGAACTGGAAGGCCGCAGACTGTCCAACCACCCTGTTCTCGTTGGGATCCTCCCAATTTTGCTCGAAAATCCCGAATATGCGAGTGGGATAGGAAAAATCCCAATTTTGACATAACTTTGCTGTGATATTTTCAAGGGAATTCTTTTGAGAATTATACAAGAACATATAATAGAGTATACTTGACTCACACTGACATCCAGAAAACTTTAAAAGCCATACAAAACATAAAATAAATTGAGTAATTGTACATGAGGCCATGCAAAAAAAAAAGCATCAAAATGACAAAATTTAGCGAACATAATTTTAAACAAAAATATTCCTCTCAGAACACTAAAAATGGCATTTTAGAGGACCAAGATTTCTGCAAAATTTTACGTGGGAAGATTACCCTTAGACCCCCCCTAGTGGCCCACCCCTTCCGCGCTCGTGTGATTCCTCGATTATTAAAAAATATCCCGATTTTATATACTCAAAAGGTTGGACAGTCTGAGGTTGCATCATTGGCTAATATTTGGATTGTAGTACTCAAACAGCCAACAATTTTATTAGATGAATGACGGCATGCAACAAATGGGGGCAACTCCACCCTTGTCCCAGTCATCCTCAACACATTGGGAAGTGACATCACCCATCAAGCTTATCGAAAGAATTTGCTATTATGCAGGTTCCAAGCCTCCTATGCTCACTTGGATAGTGCAAAGAGGCCTGGAAACAAAGGCTGGAACAGCTCTGCCTGATGATGGAAGATTTTAAAATGCTTTAATAGTGAAGATGAAACAGTCAAATTACTGGCCGAAAAAGAACGCACACAAAAAATGTCAGCTGCTTTTTACAGAGTTACTACATTAAAAACATCCTTTGGAATCCTAAAACTGCCAAAGAACAAACAAACTGTTCTGAAATGTAAGGACATGTGAGCTTTGAAGTATTTTCAATGACTGATGAAAAAAAAAAATTGGGGGGGTCCCCTGTAACATGACACAAACTCATTATATAAAACAGCCTATCTGGCATGTCCTACTGTTGTGCTCAAATATCATTTATATTACTATGCTTGTAAGTACGTTATCAGCTGTTATAACAGTGTTCACTTCACCTAAACGGGAAAACCAAGAGCAACTCACATTCTTGTATCTTCGAAACAACCTGCGCGCCTCATTGCGTATGTACTGACTCTCTGTATCGGCATCTCCCATGGTTAGTTCATGCCAATGTCGCGCTATTCGGAATATGCGACGATATAACGACAAAACTTCTTTCCTATAAAATAATGGTTCAATCATCATCTTCTTCTGTAGAGGAAAAACCACGTATAAAAATGTGCACTTTTAAACTCGAGTCCGCCATGTTGAAAAATCGTGTACCAACTTCATATACGGTACACGAAAGAAATGGTGCACAGGAATCCCAGGATGGGAATATGGGCACTTCTATGCTGGCCCATCTGAGCAATCATCTTACGAATGTCTAAGAGGGTTATGGAGGAACGCTTGAAATTGAGGGGTTGATAACCGGGTGGGCGGGTTGGTGACTTCTAACGAGCAAGAAACTAAACACTTCGCCGCGTCTAATCATTTACCTACAAATGAGAATTTAGAAGGTTGTAAGTATACAAGAAGACCGCCGCACAACAACAGGACTTTCTTATAGCACCAAAGGCGTTTCACTCTTAGAAAATATTTCAACAATGTCCAACCCGAGGAACTTTGAACATGACAAAAATATCACTCGTGAACACCAGATAAAAGATGAAACTCAAATTTTGAATCCCCAAGTTTCGGTGGCAAGAAATTCCCCAAGTGAAAATTGGGGATGAAACTAAACTAACTTCCCCAACAAAAATAAAAGAGGAGAATGTACTCAGTTTAACGTACTTCATAAGTTTCAGATATAAACCTCACAAACGCGTATCAACCTGTAATGTATTTATTATACCAGTTTAGTACTTTCTTTTTCTAAAAAAATGTAACCTTATGATATAGTTGATGGTGGTGGTGTCGACACTTAGCAGAAATGTTAAATACTATGACACTTAACTGAAAGCCTGTCATCATCATCATCATCAACAGCGACAACATCATCATCACCACACTGGGTAAAACGTTTTTTGTCAATACGTTTTTGCAGTGGAAAATAGCGGTTATCACAGTCATCATTAATTGTAACAATATAATTTTTTTATCAATAATTTTAAGTGAGTCAAGAACATCTGCGCTGGGAGGCTAGAGATCCGCTTTAAATTAATTGTGTGAATTACCCCCGCTACAAAATTAAATTACTGAACGGAAATGAAAAAAGGGTGCCAGAGGAGATATTTTATTTAGCAAAATTCTTTCTTTGGTCATTCTTTTTGCTGAAGTAAAGTATTTGCTATTGTGTTCCACTATTTGTTATGTTTTAAATTCTTTGTGCCCGGAAGTTTTTTTTTTTTTAGCGTCATTTGCATGCAGGTAGAAAATTGAAGACACTCAATCGGAGTCTGTATTAGCTATGTCAAAACAGATGAACTCTAGTTCACCGTTCACCAATTCGAAACGAAGAGCTCTTTGGTTATTTTTATTTACTTACCTATAGTCAAGAGGTTAATATTACTAAAACATGTATCGCGTGTCCTCTAGGTCTTCTATAAATTTTGTCCCTAAAGCCTCGGAGTCATGTTAGAATTTCAATATATCGAACGTGGGCTATTACACGATCGAACACGATTAAGACAGGTCACTGGGGTAATTCTTCAAGTCAGAAATACTGGGAAAATTATAAAGAAGACCAACAGACGGTAAAACAATTTTTTTAAAAACAAGCTTAGTGCTTCTCAACGTCAAGATCATCCACTCGTGATCATTATTGGGCGAGTCTTTAAAGTTACCTAGGCTTCGATTATGGGGAAATCATTTTGTGAAGACATTCTTCCGTATTACCCTTCAGTCTCCGAAGCTGAGGTTCTTCGCCCGTCGTACATCACAAACTGTGTCTTTGCCATCTTCTTAAATCACACTACAATCATGTTAAACATTGTAACAATCCATGCCGTAAGAAAGACGCCGTCATTACGAAAGCCTTTGAAAACTTTGCTTCTGAGTCTGATCGCCTCAGATCTCGGGGTGAGTTTATTTGTTCAACCATTGTACATTTGGTTGTTAATCCGGTGGTTACAGCAAACCCACCCTGGTTGCCATATCTACACCTATTTCAGCGTCATTATGAACTTATTTTTCACAGCTTCGTTCTCCAGCGTCGTGGGGATAACTCTAGAGAGGTTTTTAGCAATCTATCTTCATCTTCGATACCAGGAACTAGTGACGTACAAGCGTGTTAAAGCTGTCGTTATCTTTATTTGGCTGGTCAGCGCATTTTTTTCGCTCCGAATGTTCTGGCTACCGCCTGGTACAAAGTACATAGTTCTTGCTGTTGCTGGTGTTGTGAGCGTTCTCTTTACATCTTTACTCTACTGTAAAATCTATTTGGTATTTCGGCGTCACAAGAACCACATACAGGCCCTGCATGTACCTCCGCAACAATTACCTCAAAACGGAGAAACGGCAGCTTATTTTGCAAGCCTACAAAGATCGGCCATTGGAACTTTTTATGTATATGTAGTCTTTTTAGGCTGTTATGTACCCCGCTTTATCTGTTTGGGTGCGATTAAAATCTATGGCCCAGAAATCAACTTGAAAATATTTTCAATATACAGTTTGACGCTGATGTTCCTCAATTCCTCTCTAAATCCCCTTATATACTGTTGGAAACTTAAAAACGTTCGACACGCCTTATTGATATTTATTCGCAAAACATCTTGGTGCAGATAAAACTTTTCTTTAAAAAATTACGATAATTTTTCTCTTGAGAGACTGTGGTTATCTGGCAAGCACCTGCTATTTAAGTAATTATACAAATATAGGTTAGTATTGATTAGGGTATTAGAATTGGTATAAAGTCAAAATACGATCATGCTTATAAAATCGCATATTTGAAATGTACTCTTAACCTGAACTCAAATTTAAAAAATGAAGCATTTTCGTTAAATAAAAGCCGAGAAAACGAAGGCCAAAGTTGATATCTAAGTGCGCTATTTTGGAAATATTAATAATCACAGGGCTGAAATCCGACGCGATACTCTCAGTTGTTGACAGAGTGTTGCAATTTTCACAACCCGGCACGCGATAACGCGTTATGAGTTTCAAGTAAGCTAGGGCAAATTATAGCAAAATTCTCTTACATTCTGCTTCACAAAATAAAGTACGATTGTTTCGATATTTGTTAAATAATTTCTATGGCTGTAAAAAGCCTTCTTGAAAAACATGACAGATAAGCCGTTAGTTCAATAACCTATTATACAAATTAGCACCTTGCTAAGTAGATCACGTCACGTAACGAGCTCAAACGAAGATTTTCGCATTTTCTCGCCAATTTCCGTGCTACAATCGGGTCCGTGTCACAACAAACATTAAGAACAGGTTTATTCACATAAAATTTTGGCGGCGGCCTGAAGTTTGAGGGTATACAAAAAAATTCCACCTCTATATCTCAGGAAAAGTTTACTGGCTCCTGCCGAAAATCTAAGGTAAACGAACAATCTAATCAAAAGTAAGTTCCATTTTTTTTTTTTATTCCTAGACTGATCGAGAGAAAGCCAGAAATATTTAACTAACACCATTGACACCTCAGAACCTCAGCTCTCGCTTGATAGGTCTGTGTAATTTTTATTTTGCAAAATTCCTTATTATTTGAGAACTTATATTTTCAAATGGAATGGTTTATAGCAGAGTCTAATACCTTAATCGGTTAGTCATAAATGAGATTACGTCTAGTGGAGCCGGGTGTACGTCAAAACAAACCTAAATTAATAATAATAATAATGATTAGAAGAAGAAGAAGAAGAAGAAGAAGCAGCTATTCATATAGCTATTCATATAGCTTTTTTTTTTTTCATATAGCGCCATTTCTACTAGATAACCAAGGACGCTTAACAAGGTTACTTGACTTACTTGTGAGAAAAATCTAAAAGGTTCCTAATATATATCACTGATATATAGAACTAAATAAAATCGCGAACCAATAAGTCAAGCTCCTTTTGCCCAAGGGCCTGTTCGGAAAAGCCATGCTTACATAATAATCCAAATTTTGTCAGCAAAAAGGATGAACTATAACTTGAAGTTCAAAGATGACAAAACACGAAGTTCAGTTGATCCACTGGATGAAAGACTGTACGCCGTGATTGGGTAGATCCAATCTTTTTCCTGCCCGAAAAGTAACCAGAACTTTCAAGAAACGAGGTGAATACGTGCTGTGTATAAAGCAATTTGGACCTCCCCAGAAGTTTTCTGTAAAATTAGACTGACATGACATTATTGTTTGTGAAAACATCCTAAGAAGTCTCGCCGCAAGGCTACCTATGCTATTTAATTATGCCTTTCAGCATGTGATGGTTTAATAGGTTTCTTCCACGGTAATTTGATGGTTTATTATGGCGATATTTCGTTTCTAAAAAACCGAATGCCTTAAAGTACAGTAGTACATGGACGATAATATATAACCTGGGTGCCAAGGGAATGAAGTGATGCTAGTGTGAACCATCGTTTTCAAGCTTTTTCGTCCTCGGTTCAGCTTTCGCACGGGTGTTTCTCTTAACTACTTTACGAAATACAAAAGAAAAAAGAAACCTGAAAAACGCCAGCTGCGCAGGCTAACGTGACCTAAGCTAAAAGTTTCTTTTTCGCGGTTTCGGCCTTCGGCCAAAGCGGCCTACGCCCGAGCCCTGTACGTACGGTACGCACGCTGCCTCGATCGTACAAAGACGTCTCTCGATGAAAACCTCCATGAAAACTTTGGCGCTTCTTCACCAGTCAATCGCGTCTCGGGCTCGCCTCTATGCGAGCGAAAAACGAAGCGCCTGAGTAGGAGGCAAGTACGCACTCAGGTAGTCGAAAGTAAAAAAGTAGAGGTACTAAAATGAAATAAGTACAGTCGACTCCCGATAACTCGAACCCTCGCTAACTCGAACCTCGCGCTAACTCGAACCAAAATCTATTTCCCCTGGATTTCCGTCATACATCCACTGTTATTTTACCCTGGTAACTCGAACCCTCGATAACTCGAACTCCCTCTAACTCGAACCAATTTTCGTTTCCCCTCAGGTCATTTTCTATATAATTTTACCCTCGATATCTCGAACCATGTTTTGAGCCCTTAAAAAGTCGGGAAAAAAGCCGTCTACGGGCGTCCGAAACATTGAATTTGGGATTTCCTATTGACATGTTGTAGGAGCCATGATAGTTTACTAGTGGAGGCTGATGTTGATTGTCGCAGGGTAACGTGAAGCAGCTTTTCTTCTCAAAACAGTAAAACGCATGCTCTATTTTAGCCAGAGTATCAGGCCTTCCTAAGGGGCTAGGGGAGAGGAGATTTTAGATGCTCTCCCTTTTTCGCTTCCATCTTCCCCCCTTTCCCCAGAAACGCCTGATACTCAGGCTAGCTCTATTTCGGCTATGTTTTGTTACGTTACCTTCGGATGTTCACTGTGCAGTAAAAACTGTTTTTTACTTTACTCTCGGCTATGTTCTTCGAACTCCCGATAACTCGAACCTTTTTTCGATTTCCCTTGAAGGTTTGAGTTATCGGGAGTCGACTGTATATCAGTGGCAGATCCAGGGGAGGGGCCCGAGGGGCCCGCCCACCCTTATTTTTGAACCAAACCCTAATCCTAATCCTTATCAAACAAGACCGCCCCCCTCCTTATCTCAGGGTGTGGATGACCCTTTCCCCCCCCGCCCCTTATCTGAAGGTCTGGATCCGCCACTGTATATGATAAGAAAAAAACATTTAAATTCAGTAGAACTCGAACTCTGAAGACAAACGAAAAAACAGGTCGAGTTAGGGGCGGGGGGGGGTCAGCGAGTTATCCTAGTCGATTGAAAAAGTCAATTTGCCATGTTAAAAATTGGTAGTTACTGATTTCTCAGCACTTCAGTGTATGTGCAGTACAAATGCACTTATTTCATCAGAAACGGTAACATGATTAGGCATTTTTTATGATAACACGTGATCATATCTGTTCGTTTTAGTTTATTGTTTTTACCCTTGTACGTGACAGTCCCTTTTATTTTTCCCGTAAGATCGTCGACCCAGTCTAGCTTGAATCGAAGATGAAATCTCCGACATCAGCCCCCTGCCTTAGCCTGTATGCCAGAGGGTTTTTTTTAACGGACCTCTGGAGCCAGGGTACAGCCACCTCTGTGCATGCACCTCTTTAGCTTCTATGTTTTGTTTTCCCCAATAGGGGTCCTAGGGGAACTTGACTTTTTGTCTTTTCATTAGTCTGCTACACAGCCGTTTTTAGTGTCGTCACGCAACGCTCCTCCCCAGTGGGTAGTAGCTATGCACGTTGATAAGACGAAGTTTGAAAGAAACAATTCTCTTGAGTATTATCACATGACCTGTATTGGGAAAACAAAACATTCAAGCTAAGGAGGTGTATTGAAAGTGATGCCAGTGACAGTGAAAGCCCGATCTCGATCAGTGATCTTACGGGAAAAACAACAACAACAACAACAACTTTATTTCAGTCAGATTCCCACGTGAGTACATGGTATTACCTACATTATTTATGTTATAAATCTTAAATCAAAAAAAGGCTATAATAAAAGAACAAGTTTGTCTATATTCCATACCGGTAAGCAGCTGTAAGTCTGTAGATATGAGGATCGACATTGTTAAATATGAAGAGGGTTTTTTCATTTGTTGTCAGAATTATTAAAAAGGGGTATCTATTACTAATGTTTCTGTAAAAGGTAGATCGAAGACTATCAAAAAGATAACAATTGAATAGATAGTGTAAATCGTGTTCAACTTCATTTAGGCCGTAGCAAAAGAGGCAAATTCGAAGATTTTCTGGAGTTTTCGGTACTGCATGTCTGCCCGTTTCAATTTGTAAGCGATGGTTGCCAAGTCTGAATTCATTCAGTGTTTTTTGGTCATTTATAATGGTGATTATGTTCAAGCAATCACTTTTGCGACAGTCGTTTTTGAATATTGAGTAGAATTTTAGTTTCTTGTAAATAGGAGACAGAACAGTCTACACGCGAGAAAAGAAACTCGGTGTGATACCCAGGGTAGGAATCGAAAAAATAAAAGAGCGCGAAAAAGAAAACAAACCAAAAACAGAAAGAAAACGGATCTTGTTACGTGTTTCTCTTATGGAGCTTCTTGGCGTTAAGTTGGTCGGCTTGACAGCCCTTAGGCTAGCCTGCGTGGCAGGGGTGCGAAAGGGAGGGGCAAGGGAGTTAGGGCGCGAGACCTTTTAACGCCTGCCACGCAGGCTACCCTTAAGCTACTAACGCCCCTCCACTGGGGGCAAACAAGTGTGCTCTGCCAAGTCAACAGGGGCAATATTTCAAAAGAGTTGTATAGAGGAAATCGTAGTTTTCTTCCGAAAAATATAAGCGATACGTAAGTGAAGAACGGCCAGCTAAAAGGAACAGAATACAAGAGAAATATGAAAGTCGTTTACCTTCTTCTCCGCGCTATTTTGCCAGAACGTTTTCACCAACATACCCAGTCCTTTTGCAGACGGGAACGGCTCTCGTTTCCAGCTCTGGAAAATGGCGGCGGCGCTACAAATCCCGCGGGTGTTCACCCGGGGATCCAGCTACGAAAGTGCAAAAGCAATCCAATCCCTAGCCTGCGGTGCAGGCGTTTTTTTGAGCGCGCAATTTGCTCGCGAAAGCGCGATGTTGAAACTTCCCGAAGAGAGGAGGAGATAGGGCGAGTCAAAGGGAGCGGGGAGGGGTTGGTTTTTTTTCTCCCCTCCCCCTCCCCCCTTTCCTTCTTTCGCCCTAGCTCCTACCGTAAGGGTTACTACTTCTACTCTCCCCAATCTTCCACTGTCATAAAATCAAAGATGGAGGCTACAACAATATTACGAACACGAACAAGGTTTCGCCCACCCAAAATACGCCTGCACTGCAGGCTATCCAATCCCCCCATCATATCCCGGGCTTGAAATTAACGAACAAAGTTGGAAAAATCCCGCGCCATGCCCGCGTATCTCCCCGGGGTTACACCACCCCCCCCCCCCCCCCCCCCCCCCCCCCCCCCCCCCCCCCACCAATGCCTTTGTTTTATTATTCCTTTTTTCTCTTTATTTTTTGTATTGTTTTTTTGTATTTGTTTTTTTTTTTTTTTTTTTTTTTTTTTTTTTTTTTTTTTTTTGTGTTTTTTAATATTATATTAAAAAAAAAAAAAAAAAAAAAATATAAAAAAAAAAAAAAAAAAAATAATATTTATTTTCAAACAGGTTTTCCCCCCCCCAAAAAACCCCTCCACCGCCGGCTCCCCCACCCCCCCCCCAAATCCCGGGGTTGAAAATAAAAAACAAGTTGGAAAAACCCCCCCCCCCGCCCCCGGTTCTCCCCGGGGTTTCCCCCCCCCCCCCCCCCCCCGGGATGACCGCTTATAAGTGCATTATGCACTATCATTATGCTATATCAGTATGTAATTGTATGTGTGTGATGTATATATGTTTAGTTTTTCTTGTATTTTTCCTTCGTGATCATAAGCGTCAGTGTGTAAAAAATTTTAATACATAACAAAATAAACATTGATTAAAATACAAAAGAAAAATTATTTTCGTTTTCAAAGCTTGACAAAGCGCTTTAGGCGCGCGAAAGCATCCCACTTAATCGGGTACGTTTGCGCGGATGCGCGCGGAAGCGCGCGTTTTGCCTAGAGTATCGAAAGAGACTGGTACGACAAATGCAACGCTCGATAATTAGCCTCCCCGCAGACGTCCTTTGGAGTTCGTTTGTCACGCATTTATTTCTCTCCGTCGGGGAGAAATGAATGCATGACAAACGAACCGCAAAGGACTTCTGCTGCCGAGGCTAATCGATACTGTACGCTTCTAGTACGCTGGATCAACGTTTGAAACAGTTCGCATGGTATGCTGGGTAATCAAAAAATCCAAGATGGCGAAACATCATCCAGATCTGATCATGTGTAGGAAACAACCTGGCGTAGGTAAGCTTCTGTTTGTTTTCAACGTGATCGTTTATAATCAAAAGACTGACAGTATTATGTTGAATTTTTATTTTCAGCTATAGGTCGGCTGTGCGAAAAATGTAAGTGTATTTCAGTGTCTTCTGTGTGATCTCCTGTTACTCAAGTGTTGAGAGGACTGTACTGTAAATTAAACGTTGAAGGCACAAGTTCTGTCAGAGTGAATGAACTTATAGTTTATCACTGATGATCTCTATCCCGTGGTTTTAGGTACCTCATTTGAATCCTCATGTCAACTTATCATTCGTAACCTATCTTCATGAAACGCTAAATGTCAAGCGTCACAATTATTTAAACACGTGCTTCAATGATCAACTTTATTATAAGTTTATAGAGGTCCTGGGTTCGGTTGTTCAAACTTTGGATAGCGCTATCCACCAGAAAAACCACTATCCGATGGATAAGTATTAGGGAACCAATAGCTAATAGCCTTACCCCTTGGAAAGAAAATAATTTAATATAGCTGGTAAACAGCGTTATCCACCCTTTGAACAACTGGGGCCAAATCTGTAATGTTTAGATTGAATCAGTAATGCATATTTCTAACTCTTGCACAGGTGATGGCAAATGCGTTATCTGCGACTCATATGTACGCCCATGCACTTTAGTGCGAATATGTGATGAATGCAATTATGGCTCTTATCAAGGTCGTTGTGTGATATGCGGAGGGCCTGGTGTATCTGATGCTTATTATTGTAAAGAATGCACAGTTCAGGAAAAAGATGTAAGTGCTTTTTTTTCTCTTATTTAAACAGCGTTTTTCATTAGGGCTGTGCTCTATCAGCACCTGGTGGTCCCTGGTCCCAGTTGTTCAGAAGTTGGATAATGCTATCCACTGGATAAATCCCTATCCACTGAACAATGCAATTGTTTTCTCTAACACTTGTCCGCTGGATAGTGATTTATTGATTGGATAAAACTGTCCGACTTTTCTACAACCAGGGGCTGGTACATAATTTTTGTTCTTGGGTGACTAGAAAATCTTAGTTTTTTCATAGAAATCATATGTTGGGCATGAAAGTACAGCCTCAATCATACTTCTTCATATTAGTGAACTTACCCAACAGGACAGGAGAGGAAAGAAGATGGCAACCTTGCGTGACAAGCATGACAGTAACTTTGTTTAAAATACGTTTTTGCTGAACTTCTCTTTCCTTTAAAAAGATCTTTTTATAAAAGACCAGAAAACATTAATGTTGGGTGAAGAGCACAACAAAACACGCAAGTAATAACCCTGTTGCCGTCCTCCTCTTCCTGCCATCCTGTTGCATAAACTCACTATTATTCAACAGGTACAGTGCTGTTAACCTTACTTTGTTCACTATAGCTAGTCTGTGAGCAAGCTCTCAGTTGGACTGTGTGGGTAGGGGAGAAAAGAGGGAAGGGAGAATTTGCAGTCAGGTCTCAGGAATTTGAAATCCACCCACAGTGCTCCCTGTAGCAACTACTTTGAAAAACCCATTATTATGGCAACCGCCTTGACTGAAAAAATCTACATGATGTTGATGGGTAATTGAACTACAAAAATTGCACACTCTCATTTTCATAGGTTACCTTCAAAAATGTTGTGTAGCTTTTGAGGTCCTTTTCGAAAAAATTATATGCATAAAAAAGCTGTGTCTTTACCTTTCTCACTATGAGAAAGATTTGGTCGATCAAAAAATTTGATCAGTCCAGGGCTGTGGTCCCTTGTTCCCAACCTTTTCTCTTGGGCGACTAGCAAATCTTATTTTTTTTCATACAAATAATATGCACCTGGGGACCCTAAATTTTGCAGGTTCAAAGCACCAGGCTCTTTTCAATTTTCCTCAGAGCACAGCTTTGCAGACACTGGATAGAAAGATTCAAAGAAGTTAATCTTGACACTGCTGGTTCAAACTTCCCACCCCACCCAGTCAAAGATCAAATTCTCCAACCTCAGGAACTCCTGTAATGGTCAAATGCCAGGGGTTTGCCCTTTGAAGGGGGATGGGGTTTCTAAAGTTTCAAATTTGCACATGATCAGACTAACATTATTTTATTCTAAAAGTGAAAGGCTGAACTGAATAATAAATGTGATCTTTCTTGTGTTCAATATGAAAAAAGTTGCCCTGGCCTGGGTGTTACATCCAGCTGAATGATAATTATTATTTCAGGTTCTTTTAATTAGGAACTGTGAGGTTCACATTATTCATTTAATGCAGCGGCTTAAAAAATTTTTTTTCGACTTTCACAGAGAGATGGCTGCCCAAAGATTGTCAACTTAGGAAGCTCAAAGACTGATCTTTTCTATGAAAGGAAAAAATATGGCTTCAAGAAGAGATGACACTTTGCTAGCATTTGTTAGTAGCAAGCTTTTACAACTGAACTGCCACTGTAAAGTAATAAACCTTTGTTAAACCATAGCAAAATGGTTTAACAATGGCTGGAAACTTAGTGAAGAGTGCAAAGTGAGCAAATGTAAATTGCCGCCATTGAAGTGCCACTCTTGTTGATTACTTTGTGCAGTAGAAGTTTCTGCAGCATGATCAGTACCATACATGGTAACATTTTTGTTCCGTGTGAAGGCACAATATTTATGCCGTTTCTTTAGTTTTCATCGTCTGTGTTCATGAAAGGAGTTGTGTCAATTTCCTTATCTGGCTAGGTAAATGTATCAGTCTTCTTTCATTTCCTCCAGGGAAGTTAGATGAAATAAAAGCCTTTGAACAATATTATTGCTTCACTGCGAGTTTTTAGTTTCAGGTAGAGGTCACATAAATTAATTCAAATCTAGGGAGAATTAAGTGCTTTAAAACAAAAAAGAAGATTGGTAGAATAATGATAATATTTTTTCTTATTAATATCTTAATCTCCATTGTTTATTATGCCCAACATAATATTACCATGTAAATTGCTGGTCAGGAAGAGTGGATAATATGAACCCCCAAGGGTATGGGGACTGGGACTTGGGACTGGGGGGTCCCAAAAAAAGGTACAGGGATGATAAACGGAAAATTATAATCAAACTCCAAAAGGAGACCAATATGGATGTAGAGCAGGCTTTATTTGACCCCTCAGTGAGATCAAAATCAAACATAAAAATCATGATAACTTGTGGTACAGCTGTTGACATCAAATGCTGTCTTCTTTGGTTTCTTTTATTTGTCTAGAAGTTTTAATGAGTTTTAAATCCTAACCAATAGCTCTATTGACAAAAATAACCGGTGTAAATGGCAGTTTTGTCTAAGAGGGCCAATGGTGGTTAGAGTGCGAGCGGTCGTCCTTCTTTCCTCAGAGACACGGTCCGCGAGTCAAAAAGAAAATTATGCTCACAGTCTAAATGGAGATTACAAGAGAAAAGTTAGCTCGCTAACAAGCTCTGGGGCAGGGTGAAAAAGGATTTTTCAATTTTCTTCCCGCCGCCAGAGCGTCCCGGAGAGAGAGACCGGTGGAACAGCAAGGAGAATGGAGCGGAAACAACCAGAAATTTTGCAGCTCAGTTTGGTGGCGTTGCCGCTCACTTGCCTCCCCCCACACCCCCCCCTCCCCTCCCCTCAACAAAAGGCCGCCAGCTATACAGGCTAGAATAAAAAATACAGTATATGCCAGATATCGCGGTCACTGGACAACTTCCCAAAATTTTCAGTTGCGTTATATTTTCTGCACAGTTGACCTGTTTTAAAATAGCGGTCACCCTGTATATAACACTCGCCTTGCCGTTTCCCAAGAGTGACCATTGTGCAAAGGTTTGACTGTATTGGCGGTGGGGGAAAGGGGAGGGGGGAGGGGGGTGTTTTCAATAGCGTGAGGAGCGTATTTCCACACCCACAGCTTAAAATAATCCGTTTTGAGTTATCTCAAAGGAACTTACTCGAGGAAATACGGTAAAAAAAAATGGAGAGCTTGCTCCAGGGGGCAAAGACCGAGGAAGATGGAGGACTTGAGGCTCGTCTGCAATTACACTTTACTATTGATCGTTCTTCATATTTTTTTTTCTTTCAATTTCTTGCCACAATAAGGATACTTGGCAATAAACTCTTTTTTATATATAAGAATGTTGTTTTTCCGGCCCAGGCTGAATATTCTTATTTTTCTGCCGATTTTAGGCTGAAAATATTCTTGTATTATTCTTAAATTATAGCTTATGACATTTCCGTTTTAGAATATATTGGGGTATTGGATGGAATAAGTTGAAAACATAATTGTGTGGTATTTACAGTTTTTGAACACACAAAATTACATCCTTTTCAAAACCTCAGCCTGGGGTTTATTCTTAAAATATTCTTAAAATTTCGCAAATTTCAGCCTCAATATTCTTATAAAATATATTCTTATAGAAAAAAAAGAGTGTAAAGTAATTGCCTGACCAACTACCTCTTCTCGAATATTAAAGTACAATAAGAACCGCGATGTTAAAATGTTAAAAACCATGAAAACAAACAGTAGAGGCTTATTGCTGGGAAGGTGCGGCGCTTATTCGGGGCGGTCCTTATCGGGGTCGAACCAACATTGTCATTGTACATGAAACATTCAGTCGTGATGATTTAGAGAGGATCGTATTCTGTGAGTTGTCAACACGTCTTTTGTTTCACATTGCGCAATCGGTCATTTCCGATGACCGACTAGCCTGAATTTCATCCGATTACTTCGAGTCGTTATTACTCCCTCAGGGAATAATAACGACTCGAAGTAATCGGATGAAATTCAGGCTAATGACCGACCGACTTCGCCGATCTCAAAATCTTGAGTATCCTCAAGTAGTGAAAATTTCTTTCCGTTAAATTCAATACATGCAGTTCACAAATATTGAACAACAGTGGGGCACTCCATGCTAATCATTGCACTGAGATGGGTGCAAATACAATTCTCTAGGTGGCTGCGTGCCTCCTTAATTTCAACACCTACTCCGCAGGCTACTTCAGTAGTAGTTGTTGTCAATTCATCATTTAGCGGCGCTTATTTGAGTATATACGGACCATGATGGTGATGATGATGCTTTGGGACTTTATGCGTCATTTCTTTCCTTCGTAGATGCAAAGGGGTTTTCCAATCAACTAGTCCTTTACATTGAGGTGCCAACCGTGTATAAATAAAGTTATCATTCATTCATTCATTCACTTAGTATGGTAAAAGTAGCAAGAACAAAATGTGTAACCCCAAATCAAAGTTGCATACGAGTCCCGTTCATAACCGCACATCTTGGAACTGCGACGAATTTGTCTATCAGACAAGGAACAAGCCTATGTATACCGGCGTGAAGCATTGCAGTTCGAAAATAGGCAATTTTATTATTTAACAGGTCGCATAAAAATTCAATGGAAGCAGAGTTTTTAATATTGATCTTGCGAGATGAAAATGTCCTCTGCCCGGAGTGGAACAAAGGTTTTCTAGTCTGGCAATCCCAGCAATGTAGGGCCGCATTTTTACAAGGAAAGGGAGAGTTCATTCGGATATCCGGTCGCCGGCTCTAACCATATCTTACCTAATGTCTTAATACGGTACTTACGTAATATAATAAAAACCATTGTAGTTTACAGTAAAAACCCCGGGGTCAAATTCTTTGTTTTTCTGTGCCTTGCCAGTTTGATAACGTGTTGTGAAATAATCATGATACTAATCGCAACAGTGCAGTTTGGAGCCTTTAATAATAGTTGGTCTATCAGGTGGTGTATTATGCCTTACACTAGAATATCCTACGAGATTAAAACTTTAAAAGGAGAAGGTGTAGTGCGTAAAAAACATCGAAAAAACCTCAAAACGCTTCAATGAACCTGCTTTAATTAAAAGGACATATTGATAAAGACATGTAAGTGCGTGTTTAAGACTCCCACGCCTTACACTGAATTTTCTTCGTCATTTTTGATTTTTGCATAACCAAAAAATAGGGTCAAAACTGAGCGAATCGTCAGATGGCGTCAAAAATAAGACAGCTGTTGTATTTTATGTTTCAGTTTGCTCTCATGGTCATGATTTTCCTTTCATAGCGAACATACTTTTTAAAAACAAATCACGTAAATTCTTATACTTCAAGCTTTTTATATTTTCCGCCAAACACGTAATCACGTGACGCGGTTGTTGTCAATCAAGCAAATGTTGAGTGGACCGGCTGATTCATCGAGGTCTCGTACTTTGTCGCAGAAATTATGACACCTCTGCCGCGCAGATAAAGAATCCCTCGTACGATCACGGGTTTCGGAGAGTACTTCAGCATGCAAGAAGTAAATGCGGAAGATGTTTACGATCATCTAAAAGCTGTATTCGAGGCTTGTGACCAAAATGGCGATGGCTTCGTCAAAACACAGGATCTCTTGCGGCTTGGCCAAGAACACTCCAATGGTGGCTTTGAGGTGCAATTTCCTTTTCTCTGGTTTTGATTATGTTACGCGTTAGTTATTTGGCAGTAGAATTAAAAGCTAATCGCTGTAAACTGGACTAAAAGTTGCCGGAAATTTGGAGTCCTTGTTTTTCTATAAGCAGGACTCAGGCGGACTATCCCGCAATCTCAAGGTCGTCTCGATTTATTTACTTGGCTTCTCCATCAGTATCATTTAGGATACTACATTTTACTTGATTCTTGTTTTTCGGGAGGTTAGTGTTTTGCTCCCTAAAACTCACGTTTATACTATCATAAGAGGTTATTACTTGGGTGTGTTTTAAACTTTCGAAAACAACAGTTTCTGTCTGTTTTAAAGACTCACTCCAGTTAGTTTACTGTTAATGTTGTGACAAGTATAACGTTTTGACTGAAAATTGACCGTCTTCTTATTCTGTAAAGAGGCCAGCTTGCTCGAAAATCGTAAGGAATCTTTTTTCTGGAAAAGTGATAGGCAATATCACCGAGGGAACAGTCCCGAAATATATTGAAACATCAAGCTTACGATTTTAACTGCCTTCTGCCTTGAAAACGACATCAATTTAGCTAATTGTTATTCGTTCTGTCCCCGTCTCTAGGAGATGAAAACCCTAATCGAAAAGCTAGATCCTGACGGATTTGGAAGAATAAGTTTTGATGGGTTTTGCAAAGGAATTCACGAATTTCTTGGTGAGTTAAAGTACAACTTCAAAGGTGGTAAAACGTGTATCACCGTATCGATATTGCGTTATGTTCTAAGCTATGTCTTGTCCGTCACACAGCGATGAAAAACAACTTTATTCGCGTTTTGGTCGACCTTTTAAAAGTTTTTTGTAATTGGAACTTCTTTCTATTCAAGGGGTTAACGGAGACGTGAATATGAACGGGGACAAAGATGCAGCCGATTTGGCGACTGATTCAAATCCCTGGCTTGTTTTACCACTGGATAGCGACCAACAGGAAGAAACTCAAGACAGCTGTTGTGAGGTTAGTTTATTGTTCATTTTGAAATTATTCGTCTCTAGGGGAGAAGCAAATCTAGCTTATTTTAATATGTTCAAAAATGTTTCGAAACTTTCAAGTTTCGAAAGCCAAGAGGAAGTGGACGGTTGTCAACAGTTCAACGAAATTGTTTACATTTTCTGGAGCGAAACAATAAAGCCATTAACATTGTGCAAATTTATGGCTCTTCTTAAAATTACCCCACTGGTTATTGACTAACAGGCCTTTGCATGTACTTAAACTCTGTTTTTATGAGGTCACTCAACTGATGAAATAAAATGGTAAGTCATGCTGTCCTGTTCATAGAATCATGTTATAAAACATTTAGCACACTGCGAATTAAATGAACTATTTCTGGGTACTGATCTTACAGTCAATCAAAAATCCTTTTAAAGCATATTGTACTGTGGAGATAAAGAAGAATTCCAATTTCCGAAAGCCTTGGTTTCTCAAACCTTCTGATGATTTAAGCCAAAACTGACTTCCTTTCCCCAGGAAAACACTGTAATTTGATACATACCTCCTAGTAATGTAACCCCGATTTTCTTTTACCTAATACTTTTAAGAAGTTGGGATTTTTTCAATTTACATAGGCAAATTAGTTGGTTCAAAATCTTGGGCCAAATGGTACTCAAAATTCAGGACCGGTAAATTTCATCCCAGAATCGGATTTGCCATTTGCACAAATTAGTTCCACTTATCTCAAAACGGCCACAAAACCTGCAAATGGTGTCAGAGGTCTCAGAACAAATAAGACAAAACTTTCGATTGGGGCCATTCTGACGGGAAAAACAGGAATACCTTTTCAGAAATTCTGTTTCTCCCAGGAAAATTTTTCACTGGAATGACTACAAAGACCTGTGTTACTTTTTCAACTGGGTTTGTCGCAAATTTTAGGAAAAGGTAAACAACCAAGAATTCCACAGAGTTCTCTAGAAGCTTCAGCAACCAGTCAGACTTGCCATTTGCCAGAGTTTTGACCTTGTTGCAATCGTACTTGTTTCTCAAAATTTAGTTCAATTAAAATAAAGCAGATGTGGGTGAATAGAGGTGTCATCTCCCTGGCTAAAATTCCTCCCCCTAGTCGCTCAAAGCGTACTGAAATGCATTTTCAGCTGTTCTATGTTAAGTTGTTGGTCTACTCTAGACAAGACACCGATGTACTTACCCTTTCCCCTTTCTATCACAAATCAGTTTGCCATGAATAATACCCTGTTCTTGACAAAATGTATCTGCTTTCTATACTCTACCCTAGACATACAAGTATTGCAGCATGTAGCTATATAAACTTAATAGGGCATTACGCACCCCCCCCCCACCTCTTGCCCAGGAGTGGTTGTTTGAGTCAGATGGCCTTGCAGGTTGTCCCTCGTAGTTAAGTGCTCATTTGCTGATACTGATCTATAGGAGCCATTAGGCCACAATGATAGGGATCTATAGTCCCTTTGTTGATACACAATCTGAAGTACATATGTATCATTTAAGGATCTGGAGATGTGTGGGTCATTTGCTGTCAGTTTTTATAATATATTTTTCCAATCGATTTGATTTCAGCGTGACAGTCCATACAGCACAACATCCACAAATGAATACAATGGTGATGATGATGAAAACTTTCCAGACGATTTACGAGTGTCAAACTTTAATCGCAATCAAAAGCAATACTCTACATTTCCACCTCCCACATTGTCACGGTTAAAACATCGGGCCACGCTGCCTACCATGAGTGTTGATGTGTACAGTGACAGATGCTCACACTCTGATACAAGTGAATACCAGTCTGAAGAAGGATTTGAGGGTTATGGGGAGAGCTTTAGTGAGGATACAACTTTTGAAGATAGCCCAACTTTAAGAAGAGAACACCAGGTTGCAGAACGAATTATAAGAGGGTAAGCATGAGATGATACTTGAAGGTCATAGTCAACTCCCTCAGCAAGGCAGGCACCACTAGGATCAATACTACATGTCCATCCTAGAGGGGTGTCCAGCCTGAAGTGTCAAATAAAAATGACACTGAGGAATGACAAGGACCAAATCTTCCTGTTTTTTAGGGAGTCATTGTTTGTTATGCATTCTATTTGTATCACCCTGATACCGCTGGTTCCTAAAATTGTATTTGCTTAGTAGATCATCAAGGAACTTTTCAGAGAGATTTGACTGTATCCCTACATTGTCCCATACAATAAATAAATAAATGCAAATATAACCAAATTTCCTAGAATTTTCTTGCAGAATGTTATAAGCCTGCTGCTTACACACTGTATATGATACCCAGCTACAGTACTTGCATCATGACTGCAAGTACTGCCTGTAATACTGCTGTAAAAGCAGAAGTTTGCCAGCAATAGAGGCCATCCCAGTGATGGCTTCTGCTGTTGTCTGCCTACAGCTATGTCAGTTAATTAACGTTGTGGGATTTAATGGCCTTAAGCCTATGTGGCAAGACTGCAACGTCATGTGAGTAGCTGTAAGTCCGTTAAAATTTGGTCTTAACTTCACAGTTGTCAGTTCCGTGGAATTTTTTAATGAAATTTGCCTTATTTCTTCTTGGTCTTGTCAATAAGGTTTTCTAACAATGTTAAATTATTGAAATACCTGTATGTGATCATATGTCAGAACAGTACTCCGGGTAAAACCAGCTACTAGGTCACAAACTGGCCAGCAGGATATGAGAACCAGGCATTAGCCTTGAATGCTTTGATGAAAAGGTTACGTACAAATACAGTTGAACCCCCATATGCTACCACCTCTTGTTAGTGACCAGCCATCTAAAATACCAAAGTGTTTCAAGGCAAAACCTGACAATATTGAAACCTCTCACAGATGACCATCTCTAATGATGGTGTTACAGTGTAACCTCTCCTTACGGACACCTCTATAATACTGACACCTCTCTATTATGGACAGTCTGTTTGGTCCGAGAAATGCCAAAAATCATACATTCCCAGTACCTCTATAATACGGACACCTCTTTAAAGTGGACACTTGGTTCTGTCCCTTTGGTGTCCGTATTAAAGAGGTTTGACTGTATAATAATCCATTGTTATTAACCTATTGTTAGAGACTGCTTGAAGCAAGGTCTGTTGTCTGTGTTTGCTGTATGTATTTTAAGTGAAGACGTGGAAGTGCACCAGCTATCGTAACTTTGAAATTTTGTACAATGAATTGTTTGCCAATAAGTAGAAGTGTCTGGACCTTTACTCAGAAAAGACCATCTGTTGTTCGATTCCCATTAAGTGATCACCTCCCGTAAGCAACCACTGAATCTTTTGCATTTAGGATGGTCATTTATAGGAGGTTCAACTGTATATGAAATATGATAAATCTTAGTTGCAAATAGCCTGGTCAGATTCAGAAGTGTTAAGGGTTAATTAGTTGATAAGAATGTCTTGTTCTTCTTAGCTCTGGTTCGAGAAAAACATCAGCTGCAGCAGCGGCCTTCTCAAGGTGAAGTGACTGATTAACTTTGAAATATTATCGTTTTTAATATGAACCTAACTGTATTAATTCCATGCTAATATTACTGACAGTACAGAGAAACTATTCTTGTGAAATCATGTTTTGTTCTGCGAAATTCTCTTTTGTAATAATTATATGATTAAAATATGGCAGAGGCTGATTTGATGCCCATCACAAAGATCTTGATCACATTTTACAAACTTAATCTCTGTTAAATGGGGTACATTTATTGTCCATGGCCCACATTAAAAAACAGAGTTGTGTTGAAAGGCATGTTAACAGTGTTAGAAACTATCAGTATTAAGTTTTGCATACCTTGCAATGGTGTAGACTACATTAACAAATTGATTGTTATGAATGACAAAAAAATTACTGGTAGTTATTGATCTTCAGTACCCTACAATAGTTCAATATTAATGGTGAAATTATAGCGGCGGAGGGCCAAGCGGTTAGAGCACTGGACTTGAAATTTGGAGGCCCCGCGTTCAAGACCCGTTCTGTCCACTAGCTGGATTTGTTCCCAGTAATCCTGACTTCAAATCCTCGACCAGGCTTGTAAATAGCTGGTTTGCCTCAGGCCAGTTGGGGTTCTTAACCCTTTTAAGTTTGATTTGAATTATTTGTTTCAGGCATTTGCTCGGCCCCACTAGCATTAGTGCCATTCATACTGCTGAGAGTAAATAACAAAATTGCTATTATTATTATTATTATTATTATTATTATTATTATTATTATTATTATTATTATTATTATTATTAAGTGACATGTATTATAGAAATGTTAGGTGAATTTTAGAATACAAATACTAAATACTTTATTTACTATAAAACAATGTGGATACACAATTTTAACTATTGTTCAGCCATCATTACAGCGGAGCCAATTAAGCACTTCTAAAATACAGCTTGTGATTGCTGACCTATCCAAGAAATGCTAGTGGATTAACAAAGATCTGTCTTGTTTTTCTTACCAACAGCCATAATATGCATCTGTTTAAATGCCACTCAGAAAACCCCAGCCGACACAACAGTTTTGAAGATCTGATGGGTGATAGGCCTCTATCAGACAGCGAAGCTAGCACCTCAGTGTTTCTTCTCTCAGAGGTGTGTTACATAAAACAGAAATGATTAGTAAGTGAAGCAAACTCAAGGCTGTGCTGTAAGAAAAACTGAAGGGGGGCCAGTGCTCTGAACCTTTGAAATCCATGGTGCCTGACTTAATGTGATTTCTATCAGACAACTAAGATGTTCAAGTTACCCAAGAACAAAAGTTAGGTACCAGGAGCCACTGGGCACTGCTAGAGCACAGCCTTAACACAGTTGTCTTTTGATAAAAAAGGCCTGAGCTTTTTAAAAATCCACATTGTTAATCTTCTTCTTGTAGCTTAAAAGGTTGTCATCACAAGTGTCATTGTTACAAGAGGACCAAGCTCTGCACACAAACAAACAGACAAAAATACGAGATGAAAACAAGTTACTATGTACAAGGTAAGCTTAGAAGCTGCTCTTTTTAGTATCTGTTTTCTGAAACAGCCATGATCTCTCTTTGTACAAGTTGCAACCATCTTAGTTTCCATGGTGACAATAACCACTGTTCAAAACTGTCACCTTTAATTTTTCAATGGTTTAATTTTTGGTATTGGGGGTGAGATTGATTAGTAATAGTCCACTTGATGGTATCACCTGGTAGTGTGTTTTTGTCCATTTTCTTGATATATAGTCAAATCTACCACAACCGCAGCCCTAAATAAATTGATCATTAAAAGGAAAAATTCAAGAGTAAGTCTTAACTTTCCCCTGCTCTGAAACAAGCAAAATAAGATTCTCGGAGACAGGAAATTACCGCAGAAACAAGGGTTTGAGACCAGTGAACAATTTTGCATGTTTTTGTATTTTCAAAACAACCTTTCTCCATTGCTAATAGAAATTATGATTTCATACAAAACAAACAGTTCATTTAGATCTTGTCCTTGATTCTTTGCTGTGAAAAGGGTGTTGTTACAAGGAAAATTGTAAATATCTTGTTAAGCTTGTTCTTTGATTTTTGTGGTTGTATATTTCAATGTGTTTTGAAGTATAATAATTAATTATAAAATAGTTTCCATTGTGCTGTTGGCAATTAATAATGTCTTAATGATTTTGCTGTTAGTCAATGTGTCTTTTGCTTTAGGACATAGTTAATCACAGCTGACGTGACCGTAAAATGCACTTATCTATTAAAAGACCATAAGTAGCTATCGGCTAAATGACAATATTAGTCAATTCATGGATCATTAATCATAGACACTGGAAGAATCTCTGACATTACAAAACATAGCATTAAGATTGTGTGTCAGAAGCTGAGTTTGTAAAGTTATGACATCAATACTCAAGAATTGGTCATGTTTTAATAATAATTAAATTCTGCTGTCCTAAGTTTCAGTTTGGTTTAAATCAAGAATGACTTTTTGTAATCATCTTATTAACAGTAGTGATGTATATTGTCATTTGCTTTAAATAGAACACAGATTCTATATGTTATAGTTAAAAATAGACGTGGCAGCCATTATGCCATGATTTCTCATTACTTTTTGGTTTCCACCAAAAAAATCAAAACATGACTGTTTCTATGCCACAGAGCCTTTGTTTCCAAGTTCCTTTCTCTTTTTCCATGCAACCTATTGTTTTTGTCATTTTATGAAGCTTTATTCTAGCTGTTTCCCTGGTGTTTACAAGTACAATACTTCAAAGGCTTATTTATTCAAAATACCCACTGCTGGTCATATATTCACAGAAACCCTTTCAGTTGCCATGAATATTTATGAATATTTAATATTTATTCAAGCAGACATCTGCTTTACAAATTTGCATAAAAGGCAATGACATGAAATTTGTTTCCTTGTTTTTAATAACACGGTTGAAAACCAGTAGTGAAAGTTAAAATTTTGAGCAGAGAACACAATGATTTCAATGTACAGTCCTGGTTTGGCTGTGGTAAGTCTGTAATGTGATGTCTTTCCTGTTCTGTTAACAGCAGAGAATTGTGTGAATTATGCAAAGAAAGACATATTATTACTACTGAAAATTTTGTAGGAAAATCCTGCTTGATTTTTGTTTTTCATGTTGTACCTTTTGTGCGGCTACATGGCAGCTTATCAAATGTATCTGAAACATTCTTTTCAGATTTTAAGTAGAAGAGTGATATTTGATTCAACTACATCCTTTTGCCATGGGAAATAAACCAACCTTCAAATTTGGCTGAGAAATATTTATGTCAGTGTACGTGCTAAAGTTTTTACCACAGAATCTTTGAAATGTCTTGTACTTGGAAAGAGAACTTCAGATCACCTTATTTTTTGGCATGATGTGATGATTTTGAAAATGAAAGCTCATATGGACCCTAAATAATATTTGGCAGGTTTGGTTGTATTGAAGTTCATTTAAATTGAGATTAGAAACTGATATTTTGCCTGTCAAGAAATAGTGTCTGTACCTGTCAAAATCCATGCCTCAGTACAGATGAAGTCAAAGAATTTTTCTCATACTGTTGTGGTATTTTAAAAGTTGCAAAAATAATACAACTTGAATTATGTAGCCAGAAATATTCTACAAATGGTGATGTACATAATATTGCTAATCATTATTGTTGATCCATGTTATGTCCATTGATTGTTAACGTTCCAGTTACTTAAAATTTGTTTTAAAAAAATGTGCTGTGGTATTTGCCTCTGTTCTCAAAGTATTGTTTTGAAAACCTTTTTCTACCTTCATGTACCTTCCTTCCTACCAAAAGCATTTGCTATTAGATTTTATGTCCATCAACTTGTTAAGTAAACCAAAAGTTATGTTTTGTAGCATAATCAGTGATATAAAAGAATGATGTGAATGATTTGGTTTTCTAATAATTCCTATGGTGGCAGAGTAAAGCTACATGCACTGTGAAGCTGTTGAATTTAAAGCTAATTTTTCTCCATAAAATGTATTAATGTAAAATATCAGCTTTAAGTCCTTGGAAAAAGGTGGTAAAAGATGTGAAAAAAATTAATGGTACTAAAAGCTCAAAACAGATAATCTCAAACTTTACATTAATATTGTATTATAGAATCATGATATCATTGTGCATGATGTTGCTGCCAAAAAAAATAGCTCATATATACTCTTTCAGAAAAAGTTTCGAAAGTGCACGCTTGTTATCAAATGGTCCCAAGCTCACAAATTTTCATATTGATTTGCATTTTATTGACTTAAACTTGTACAATGGTCACCTACCTCAAGATATTGGTGAATAGGAAAAAAACTAATAATGAAAATGATAAAGGAAAAAAAAGGACTCAAACCATAAGAATCAAATTTCAAGTGCACACAACATTTCAAGGCCTCAGTATATGGAAAACAAAGAGGCAAATTATAAAGAAAATGTTATTAAAATAAAATTTTATGAAGAGACTGTGAACTTTTACCAATGAAAACACTACAACTTGGCACATTCCTGCCAAGCGTATCTTTGACTAAATTGGCATCTTTTTAGTGGTTTAATTATTTCTAACTCCTCTTTCAGACTAGGAATCTACAAGGTGGTCATCACTTGGAGCAGTACATGACTGACGAGAAACCAATATTTAACAGCATGATAAAATTATCTTTTGTTTTCTATCAATATTGTATCATAAGATTGAAAAACTCAGGTATCATAAGATAAAAAAAAACTCCGAGTTAGTTTACTTCACTGAAATTTTACAATAAAGAGCACAAAAAGTAACAGCTGATAAGGTCAAAGAGGTTATTTTACATTCAAAAGGTGATGCTTCTTGAAAGAACTACATTGTAGCTCTTCATTTGATGACATCAAAATAAAAAAGTTGACCACATCTTTTTTCAATTTTGGTTTTTGTCTGCATGTATTTATTTATGTATTTTAAGAGAAAAAGAAAGATGGAAAAGGAAAGGAAGGTTGTGTGACTGGTTGATGGGCTGGGGGAGGATTATTACTGCAAAATTTTGAGGGTAGCAACAGTCAATAGCATAATTTTGGAATTGGCGCCTTTGGGGATTTTAATTTTTGTTTAGTGGTCATTTCATTGGAAATTTACAGTTAATCAAGGAAGGTAATAAAATTTTCTAAACTGGTAAGCAAGATATTTAGACAGTTTGTAAAAAGGTTGTTTACTCAAACCTGGAGATATTTGATTTAGGTGCTTCAGTATTTGAAGATCAACTTTGCCAGCGTGCAAAGAAAGTAGTGTCCCATAGCCCAGGGCTATTGGATTTTGCTATCAGGCTAGTGAATTCTGTTCTCAACTTGCCCGAAGGGCAAGTGATGTTTTTTGAGGAATTCGAATAACAGGGGAACTGGGAAATCATTTCTGCTTGTCAAAAAGCTTTTGGGGTTAGTTGAAATGACGTCTGGGCTAGTAAATGTTAGCTTTAGCTTGCTCAAATGGCAAGCTGTTAAAAATGATTTTCTTTGCACCCTGTTTGCACCATTTTTTTCATAGCCTTTCGTACCTTTTTTTTTTCAATTTCAGAATAAATGCATTAGAAGAACAACTTGAAAGTCAAAAACTCACAACAGGAAAACAAGTTGAAGAGGAAAGTTTGAAATACAAGTTGGCATTGGTAGGTTTACCATCTATTTCCCAGCTTAGCAATCATTACTCTTGAGCCATGATAAGTTTGACATTTAACAAAGTTATATAATCCTAACCCTGTGTCATTCAATCAACTGTGTCACATAAGTGTTGTCACAGTGGTTCAATAGACCAATTCCCATATATTAAAATATAACTTGGTTGTGAGGCTTGGGGGAATAAAACAAAAGAAATCATCTTGAGGTTCAATAATTAACAATAATTCCTTGAGCCTGAATGGCCTCTGCGTCAATAGCCCATGAGGCCGAAAGCCGAATGGGCTATTGACGCAGAGGCCATGAGGGCTCGAGGAATGATATTGTTTTAGGAAACTTGTTTTAGGAAAATCCAACTAGTTAGTCAAAAATATTGAGACAAAACAACTTTAGCTAGCAAAACACGATTCAGCCGCCATTGTTTTGTTTTCCAAAGCTGGCGCTTTTCGCCACTAGTGGGCTATTTAACATATAGCCTAGTAGTAGCTCAACCAATCAGAATGCATCATTGATAATAGACCACTAGTTGGATTTTACTAATGAATTATACACAGTGTTCCCCTTATCAGGTGGTAACCTGCAACATTTACCACCTGAAGCAACACTTTTTACGTTCTTGCAAGAGCTTGAAGGCTTACTACAATTATTAAATGAGTAGTTTTAAAAAATATGCAAGTTGAGATCCGATCCGATCAAATGAATGAATATATGGAAAATACTAAAGTATACACAGCTTTAAATTGTTGTCTGAAGATAACAATGCCCAATTTACATAAAATAGGTCTTAAAATGAGGGAGTTATGTTTCAAGAACTTAGCTCCTCTTAGGGTGGGACCACGTGCCTCACTCCACTACCCCCCTCCCCCTCACGAAAGTGTACCTCTGGGGCATATTTTTTCCTTACTGGCCATGAATGGTCCCTTACCTGCTCAAGCCAAAATTAGAGAGAACACTGAATACATTTTTTTTGTTCTATTCTCCCAAGCCTCGTAGCCAAGTATGAATTTTAATATATCAAAAATGGTCCATTATATCCTTGGTTTAAATTTTATATTACTTTGTTTTAAAGGTATCGTAACACATTACCATACCCTAATTAGCACCTCTCATTCATGAAGAAAATGGCTAGTTGAAAAAAGATTATAACCTTTTTGAGAGCTTGCAATTGTGTAAGGTGTTGACAAGTAGAAGGCATCTTGATAATCTAATATTTGATGTAAATTAATTAGATGTATGATGTACATTGTATTGTACTTGGCAAGGAGGTGCTGTTTTGATTGAACCAAGAAAATAAATTATCAGCAAAAACTGTGTCAAATCCTATTAACCCTTGCCATACCCCCGTCTATTCAATATTTTCTAAAAACTGTTCCTTTCCCCTCCCCCCACCCCTCTCTCCTGATCCTCCTTAGCATTTAGATTTTATTTATTTTTTGTCAAAACTCAGTGAAGATGGCATATCAAAACTTTTAATAAATTCTTTTTCTTCAATTTTCAGGTTTGTTTGTTTTGTTTTTTAAGTTTTTAAATATTTTTTTTATTTATGTTCTCAGAACAAATTAGAAAGAGAGAATGAGGAATCCTTAAATGTACTAAACAGAAAGTAAGTATCTTCACAATTCTTCTTTATGAAGCTAATTAAGTCCTTTTTATGAAATGAATATAAGTTATTTCCAATGAAATCTGGCTTTAAAAACTTTAAGCGTAAAGGCCAAAGTACCATGTCAAGATTAAGAAGGAAAGGACTGCAAAGCTAAATTGATAAGTTGAACATCCTGCCATATTAGACTTTATTAATTTTCTTGTTAGTCTCTCTTTATATTTATTTATGTATTTATTATTTTTCAACAAACAATTTAAATACAGCATTATTGGTTCAAATTAAAAGGGGTCAAAAGATGTTATGTTATGTTGGTAGCTTGAAATAGTCATTGTCTCAGTGAGCAGGGTTTGTACAGAGTCTTGAATTCCAGATTTGGAAAAAGTGTGGAAAAGTCTGGAAAAATGGTAGAACGTTTTAATTTTTTTTGTCAAAGCTACACCAAGTGTTTAATAAGTGAAATTTTTCCCACGGTCAAATCGTATTCAATCTTGCCTGTAGCTAAGACATTCAATCAGAGAATGAGAAAATTCAGAACACGCCTACGTCTGCATGCACCATGGTTACTGTATGTTTGCTTTGCGTCATGGAAAAAACCTGGTTTCTGTCTTATTTAAGGTCTTTTTTCATAACCTAGAGTCTGGAAAAAGGAATATTATTCTTTTGGAAAAAAGTCCGTATGAACCCTGTCTGAGTAACAAAACAGATGATGCACTCATTTTACCTTCCTCTCTCCATCTGTGCTTTCTTTTACGGGCGTTTAAAGCTACTTTATTATATGCAAAAAGTAAAGAAGTTTAAGTAAGGATTTGAGGTCACACCTAAGAATTGTACCTGGGACCTCTCACACTAACAAACTGTGTTAATCCTTGCTTCTGCACTGGGCTAATATTTTACTTCCTTGTTTGAGAGTTTTAAGACAAAATTTTGCTTGTCTTAAGATTACAACAGGCTGAAGAAGAAATTGAAAGACTCAAGAAAGTGGAGCCTCTTTTAAGAAAAGAACTTGACATTTGTCAAGAGGTTAGTCAATACCTCCTTTTCCTTTTTTTACTATCTATTATAGTTACATTACTTGATAGTTTTAATACCAATTTTTTAAGTGGATTCAATTTATGTGCATGAAATTCTTTATTTACATCATTTACAATTCAATCAACTACTGTATTTCCTCGAATAAGCACCCATACTCTAAAAGGCGCCGTCTGTGAATAAGGGCTCACCCCTTAGGCCATATTATCATACAACCACCCCTCTTGAATAAGTGCTCCCCTCCCCTCCCCCTCTCTCTTATATAGTAGGGGTAAGAGGAATGCAAAGGTCTGCTTATCATTGATGAGGATGATCTCAAGGATGGTGAGATAGTCGATATTTTATAAACATGCATACTGATACATGTGTGTGTTAACCCTTTAAACCCTAAGATCAAAATTAAAATTCTCATTTGTCGCCCCTACTCATTTCCTACAGAAATAGTGGGGAGAAGTTGATGAGATATCGACCAAATTCATCTTGTGTGATCATGTCCGTAAATCTCATAACCACTCTGTTTTATAAAGCATTGATATTACAAGGAGAAATTTGATGCTGATCACTCTTAGGGCTTAAAGGGTTAAGTATTCAAATGGGACCATGACACCTTAATTACCAAATACTTTTTTGACAAACAAATTAATAAAGTTACACTTCGTTGAAAGGAAAACTTAATAAGCGCCCTCCTTCTGATAATAGGGAGCTTAAGGAAAAGCGTTTTTGATCAACGGAAGTCAACCGGAAGTGAGGCATTTTCCGTCTCAATATGCGTTGACGATATAAAATTTGTATTGCTTCGCTTCTTTACTCTTATAGAGATGATTTGACTGAAAATTTCAGCAAAACCATCGTCCAAAAATGAAATAAAAGGCCACTTCCGGTTGAGGGGCATTGCTCAAAACTGTGACTGCTTAAGCTCCCTCTTTGCCTCTCTGCTCCTTTTAGCCATGATTTTGAGGAAATACGTTTTTAATATACTGCCATGCAAGTTTGTAAAATTGAACATCATTATTGCAGGAGAAAAGAAGACTTCTTAATCAGGTTGATAGTCTTGAGCTCGCTCTTCAAATAAAAGCTGATGAAGTTAAGGAGCTGAAAGGAAAGCTCGAGGGTGAAGTGAAAGGAAGGCTGGACGATCAGGATCGTCATGAACAGGTCAGTTGGGATCCTCTTTGGTTATCCAACATTTTTTCACTCTTTCCCTCCTAAGCATACAAAATGAAGTTTACAATGTTGAAATTTTTTTCTGTGGATTTTATCCATAGTCTCAAAAGGTAGAAATATATTGAAGAGTACTAAATGAAAGTACTTCTGAAGAAGTTTCCAGCATTTGATTGGTCACACTGTAGGATTTCATCAACAGATTCAAAAGTTGAGCTACATTTCTTGCTTCCCTGCAGTGGTAGCGGTTTATGGTGAACGGACCACTAATGTCCTATCAAGACAATCGTGGCTAACCCACGAGTTTGAACAAGATTTCATCTTCATTCACCTTGGTACCAGTCCTATGTATAGTAGTTGGCAGTGACTTAAAATCTTGCACTGTAAGGCCTCATTCCTCTAGGTCAGGGTCTGGGGATGTGCCCCAACAACCAACCCACACCCCCACCCCACCCCCCTGTGCTCCCGCCTATCCAGAAAATTTTGAAATCTACAGGCTTGAAAGTGTAATTTCCAGTGTAAACCATTCTAAGCGTGAAATTGATTAAAACGTGTGAAAGCCGAAAGACTTATAATAATAATAGTGTATTTCAAAAGCCTTTTCGATGACCTTCTGACATTTCTTGTTTGTTGTAGTTTCATTTCTCTTTAGTTATGGTTTTAGAATTTGCTAGCCGTGAGAGGCAGAGTCGTAACCTAGCTTTTATTGAAACCTCTCATAACCTACGTTTTGCAGGGTATTGTATGATTATCACTTACATAGAAATATGTTCTCTTCTGTTTCGTTTAGGAGCTCGCTTTAGCCAGCGAACAGTTGGTAGAACTTGAAAAATTCAAACATGAAGTAGAAATAAAACTCAAAGAGCATCAAAATGTGGAACAACAAAAAACTGACCTAGAAAGACATGTTCAGACATTGATAAAGGTAATATACTAAACACAGAAATGAAGAGTGGCTTTCTGAATTCAGCCCCTCTTTTTTGGTCGGCAAATTGTCCTTTTCAAAAGAGAATGTCATGATTTTGATAAAGTTTATAGAGTAAACTCATTACACGTTGTTTCTTAGTGTGCAAGAGATTTTAAACCTCCTAATGAGAACTACCTCGTTAACTTGCATTTCATGATTCGCTCATATTTGGTTACAAGTAATTGAAGTCGAACTATTGGAATAGGTTGCTACGTCGGTATCATAATCATGTTGATGTCCTACCTGGAAAATTTGCGGGAGGATTACAGTCGAAGCTCTCGTAAGCGACCTCCTCGGAAATTTGAAAAAGGGATCGTAACTAGAGCTGGTCACTTACGAGAAGGAGCTCTCGTAAGTGACCACATGGTAAAACAATAGAGGGTGGTCGCTTATGAGGGATTCAGAAACTCATTAATAATTGATTCATAAAGAGCCAAAAAAAAAAAGAAATTAATGTTTAATGAGTGTTTTTATAGCTGATATAGACGCGGCTAAACTTTAGGTCCAGTTTTTTAGACCATCAGCGCAGTGTGTAGTTTTATTAAAGTGTTGATTTTTAGAAATAAGACTCTGAGTGATCACTTACAAGAGCTTAAAAACAAAGAAAAAGTCCAGTTGGGTAATCTAAAATGTGTTCGCGGTCGCTTATGAGAGCTTTTCATTACAAAAGTTTATTTCACAGTTCAAACAGGGTTTAACAAAGGTGGTCATAACAAGAGCTGGTCGCTTATGACAGTGGTCGCAAGGGGAACTTTGACTGTATCTAGAGTACTGTGTTTTAAAGAGCTCCGATACGGAGTCTCTGACAACCTGACGGTCTTTTACTGCAAATGGAATTGGTCAGCATGGTTTGATTTCTGTCAACAAATATTTTAAAGTGGAGCCATTGAAATGTGGCATCAACATAATGATTTCTAGGCTGAGTCTCCAGCCGTGTTTGTCTTGATACTCCCTTGGTATTCTGGGAAGTACTGCGGGTACATCAAGAAACCCATGGCTGTGGACTCAGCCTTTATAATTTCTAGCTATCCCTAAGGAGAATACTTATATTGAGCTTGTGTCTCTGCTCTTGTTTTAGGAAAACTTAAGCTTAAAACACTCCAAAGAGGAACTCAACTTTCAGCTGCATCAGGATGGATATTTTGGTGCCGGGCAGGTAGGTGTACAACAAACATTAAATTATTAAATATTACTTAAATTCTAAACAAATTACGGTGATTGCTAAGCGCTATTATTTTATGGCTAGCTCCGCGAGTGGGCGAGTTGAATCAAATCTTGTGTCCTTTTTGGCTACCCAAGCGGACACGATGGGCCCATCGTGCTCGCTTGGAATCCTTCACTAATCAGTACTATGTCCCGATCCTCTGATGTTGTTTTGGCCATATAATAAATCTGTTATTGACCAAGCGTGACGTCAAAAACACCAGAAAGTATTCGGCCAGTAAGTATCCAGCCTTAATGACCTCACGATTGGTCAATAAGCCACATATTTTAAGTTGCATTTTCCACACTACTCTCTATTCACAGCAATTAAAGAAAGGACTGATCGTGACCTCCTGTGCTCAATGCCGTTCTGTCATTGTTTAAGCCGGTTTTAAGATCTACGCTTTGCGCGCGCTGTTGCCTCCTGTCGTCTTGTTGTCTTTATTGGGGACCTTCACGATCTGACAAAGGCGACGTCTATGAAAACTTCGTTGAAAAAAAGACTTCGCATCCTTTGGAACTTTTTCGCAATCATCCCCAGTCGCCGAGTTACTTTAAAGAGGGACGTCGGAGCTGAAGAGAGGGGACCGCGATGGCCATTTCGCGTCGTAGTTGTTGTAGGGACGGCAAAGAAACTTAATACGAAATAGCACTATTCACTTGCAGAGTTGTTTTCTTTTTTGCTTATTAAACCTATTGCTTTTTTGACGTTACCGTTGCTGCCCCTCCTAAATCTTCCTAGTATGACGATTCACACGTAGTGTTTCAGAACCTCAAATAAACAGTGGTTGAGTGATTCACGCTGACTTTTTAAGCCAAAAGAGCACGCAAGGTGAAACCCTGCCCTGTAAAAATTTCCCCTTCCACAAAAGACAATGTTGTTGTTAATGTTGTTCTTGTTTTGAACCAAGCAGCAAGGATCACTGGCCGATGAACTCGTCACAGCTGACAAAGAAAAAATCATAAGTACCCTGAGAGACCAAGAGGAAGAAAACAGAAGACTTAGAAGCTACCTGGATGGATTATTAATGATGATAATGGAACACAATCCATCATTATTGGAACTTCAATAACAACCGTTCCTACTCCTCGCATTTGTGTCTTCTTTGTTTAACCCCTTAAGTCCCAATGGTGACCAACATCAATATTCTCCTAACAATATCCATACATTGTTAAGAGATTAGGTTATGAGAAAATTAATAAAATGATCACCAAAGAGAAAATAGCTTGATCTTTTACCAAATTCTCTTAACTCATTCTCTAAGGAAATGTATGAAGACCAGTTTGGAGAATTTGTATGTGGATATTGGGACTTAAAGGGTTAAGGTGGTTCACAACAGTCCTCTGTAATTATTTTTTATCACGTGTATTTTAATGGATCATCAATGCCGCCCATTCTCTACCAGCTGTTGCTATGGTGATGGTGTTGAACCCATGTTCATTGATCAGTGAACATGATATGATCAGATTGGCGTCATGTTTACCATAGCGTCTTTATAAATGCCTTTTCTTAGCTCCAAATTCCATTGTACTTCGCAACTTTTTAAGTTTCAGAGCCAGGTTTTTTTTTTAACAGGTTATGGCAGCAAACTGTCCACCAAGCCGAGTCAGTATATTGATTTGATTCCATTATTGTAGCAGGCTCTGATCATAGAGAATGGTAGTAACGATCCTTTAAAGTAGCAATACATGATACTGCTGACAACCACCTTAAATTAAATACAAAGTAGACCAAAAACTTTTTATACACATACATGAGGTGATCAAAACGACCTTTTAAAGGGTATTGATATGGTGAAAATTGCATGTTTCTGTTCAAAGGACAGTTAGATTTTCAATAAAAAAAAAACCATAAAAATTTTAAATGCAGACATAACGTTGAGGTCGTTAGTAACATAGTTTTATAAAGGTCACGCTTTCCATTTCTATAACGCAGCGCTTGCTGGTGACGTTTAAAAAGCATAACACCATTTCCTTTGATTCAGAAACTTAGTTGCGTGACCCCTCAATACATTAAGCATCCATATGCTTTGCAACGATTGCCTCCATTTTTGCCATGGAGGCTAATCCAACCTCGACTTCAGGGCTCTTCTCTAAAGGAAAAGCCCTGGGTACAAGATTGAGCCCAATAAGAAAAAAAGACATGAAAAAGTGTTTTTTCTTTGAAATCACCGCTTAATCTCAGTTAACCATTTTTGTATAATGAATTCTTTCATGAACAACATTAACACGGGAACATAGCTATATTTAGACAAGATAAGTTAGGCCAGCCACAAACCTTAATAAGGTGGTAAAAAATTTTTAATTAGCGAGCTTATAAATCTTCAGTCCAAAGGGAGTAAAACAGAGAGAATCAAAAATTTGTAATAGCTGCGAACCAAATTGCTAAGAATTTAATTATAATCGTACTTGTACATTGATGTTTGTAAACATATCAAACCACCCCTCCCCAAGCGTTTTGTGATGCCCCTACACTTAACATAGTGGACTATTTCAAACATTTGACTATTTATGATATTTGAGAGTTTTAATGTAAATAATTTAGGGTTTAGAGATAATTGTTTGTGTGGTTGTTTTCAGTGGTGTGCAGTGCTTCATAAGAGCGCATGAGGCAATCTCGATCCTGCGTCTTTCATCTCCCGACCACATAGGGGGTGAAGGAAATTTCACTCCCATACTTCTCTCCCCACCGGCGGCAGGAAGGGGGGGGGGGGGGGGGCGCAATTATGGGGCAAAAATTACCTCAGCCCCCTGGGGGGGGGGGGATGAAAGAACGAGGGCCAGGTATTCCCACTCGCACCTTCAGAAAACCTACACAACCAAAAAAAAACCCCAACACACAATATTACCTAAAACCAACACATATATACAAAAACAATCACAAAACTCA